TAAAATATTTTTTAATTAAATATATTATACACTTTTTTTAAAAATTATAATACTCATATAATAGAACTAACTAAAATATTTTTACTAATATCTCAATGAAAGTAGAAAGTAGAAAGTAGAAGAGATACACTCCACAGAATTTTCTCAGAAATTGCTGGAAGGAACTAGTATATTGGTACAGCCAGGGATGTGGACGCGGAATCAAATTTTAAAATTCTAAGTTCAAACAGTAGTGCACAGCTTACTATGTAAGTACTACAAATTATTGAGAACTTTAATGGGACGTCCTTTTTTTATTTCACTGTCTTTTTTTTTTTTTTTTTTGAGAAAATTCACTGTCTTGTATTTTATAGGGGGCGTCTAGTACATCACGTGTGTCTAACATCTTTTAACTTATACAACGTAAACAGTCAAAAGTAACCCCTATAATTGAAAAAACTGCTCTATTGCTATGTAGGTGTCAGATCGGATTTCAAATCACATTTCAAATTTATTTAGGTTGTGTTTAGAACTTGAATTTGAATATGATGAATGTAATTAAAATATATGTATTTTAAAATATATTGTTTGAATTGAATTAAAAAAATAAATTTTAAATACATACATTTTTAAATATATTGTTTGGATATTTTAAAATATTATGTATTTAAATTTGAATTTTTTTTATTAAATTAAATCTTTTTTTAATTATTATTTAAATTTAATAAAGTCAAAATTAACAATTTTAATCTTTCAAAATATTATTTAAATTACCTCAACACAAACAAATTGGATGAAAAAAAGGAACAATGACATTTACTAATCAATTTGTCATCATATTCTCCATTTTCTATTCATTTTTTTAATTGTCATCTAATATTCAATTTTTATAAAGATGAATTTATCATGAAAAAATTTCAATATAAAAAATAAAAAAAAAAACAAAATAATATCTAAAATGATTATTAATTATGTCCATTAACAAAATAATTAAGGTAACACTTATTAATTGTAAAACGAAATAGAAATATAACATTTTCCATTGAAAACTTCTAACAATTATATTGGTTGACAAGTAGTTGAAGTAACATTCATTAATTGTAAAATGAAATATAAATATAACATTCTTTGTTGAAAGTTTCCAAGTAAACCATTGAGTTGACTTTGAAAGTTGAGATAGAATTAATCTTATAAAATTATAATTTCATTTTTTTAAAAAAATTGATATGGATACAAATTAATATAATTAATATACAAAAATTATAAAAAAAAATTATAAAAAAACTTATCCCTATGTCGCTTCGTTATGAAAATGTAATCTTTGGCACTATTAATTCCAAAATTTCCTACCCAGTTATTGATGCCATCTGGCATGAGAAGTAACAAAAATTCAATTTAAATTCAAATGGAGTAAATCTTGATTTTTCTGGAAAGTATAAGCCCCTTAGAATCTCAATTCCATCCAATCATCGAAAAATCCGATTCAAGCAATCCCACCGAGAAACGCAAGCCCCTGCCAGAAAAGAGTCGTCGCCGCCATCGGCCACCCCTTAGCCACCATTGACAAAACAATTCCCAATTCCTCCTGAAGCCAACCAAACCCCTTCCTCCTCACCCATCGTTGACAGGGCAAGATAGCCATGCCGCCTCGTAGTCCAAAGCAAAACTGATTGGTAAGCTAAGATACACATCACTCTTTTTCCTCGACCCCCACCGCTTCCACCATCAGATCGAAATCTTCCATGGCCAAAAACTCGGTCACCGCCATCATCATCCCTCTGTGTATGTTCCCCTTCTCGCCGCCAAGACTTGATGAATCTGCAGGAAAACTACCTAAAGCAAACGAAACCCCAAAATTCGAGCAAAACCAAAATCCTCCTCGCACAAAAAACTTGCTATCAAGGAGAGGTTTGAGTGGCCTCATCGCCGTCGATGAGAGGAGAGAGTGGAGAGGAAATTCATTTCAAAATTGAAATTCATAGGTTTGAGAGTGAAATTGAAATACACGGCTTTAAACCTTTGAAAATATTCAGTTGAAATGCATGTATTTTCTTTAAATTCAATTACATTTTATTTAAGTAAAAACAAACAATAATATTAAATTTCAACCTCTCAAATTCAAATACATTATTTCAAATTCACATTACTAAACAGAACATTAATGGTAACAAGGGATGCAAATTGCCCCCTCTGCAAACTTCATTCAAATTTGGCTGTCTAAATCTTCAGCGCCCCACACTCAAGGACAATTATCACGTTCACAGTCGGTGACAGCTTTAACTTTAATTATTATTATTTTTTTTTTGAAAATAGGCGATAGAACTACAATTATTTTTATTTTCGTAAAAATTAATTAAAAGTAATGTTAATATCTGTTAGTAAAAAAATTCGAATCATTCGAGAGATGCAGATCACTTGTTCCCAAAGCAGCGTGACCACTTGTATTACACGATGATCTTCAACTATATTTTAGCACGCGAATCGTGATGAATTCCACTACATTGGTTTTTTTTCTTTCCGTCTAAGCTAAATAGCTTTCTTTGGTCCTTAATTTTTAGCTCAAAGTATAAGTTGGTCCTCAACCTTCACTTTGTTAGTTTTGCGTTAGGACTGTAAATGAGTTACGCTGCTCTAGTAAAATTTAAGTTGGACCTAACTTCACATGAGTTTAAATTTGAGTTAAAAATTCAAAATAAAAAATAAATATAATTAAATTCAAATTAT